GCCCCTCCCCGCCGCCAGGAGGCGCTGCCGTCGCGGGGGCGTCAGGGCTGGCGCAGAGCGGGGGGAGCGCCGCCCGGGCTGGGCGCCTCCTTCGCGGGGCCTCGGTGCGGGTCTGGGTGTCCTGCGTGGGGTTTTAGGTCAAGGTGACTTGTGTGTGTTGCAGATCGTGCTGAACGAGCTTGAAAACGTGCTTACTGCGTTTGAGGTTTAGTTTTGTGAGTGAGGGAAGGCTCCTAGGATCTGACTACTTCCACGTTCCCTAGGGTCTGAGCAGTGTTTTAGACTGAGAAACAGTTGTTTCAGAAGTAATGCTTCTAAAAAATACTAAGGCTTTCCTTTCTCACTTATGTTACTTGAATCAGGAGGACTTTTAAATCTCTCTTAAGCGGTTGTGCTTTGAGCAGCAGCACCTCTTTTCCTGTGGCCTGTGTCTCCCAGTGACTGGATACTGCAGGTGAAAGCATAAAGCTCTTGCCACATTGTGGAGTGTGTGGTGAAGGGCTTCTGAATTTCATCAGCTCCAAGTTTACTACTTTTAGAAATGGATAGTTATTAAGTATAACTTTTCCTGTGCTTGACACTTGTAGTGATGCTTCTGTTTTCTTCCTGCTCTCCATCATTTAACCGCATGTAACTTTCATTTGATTGCATATTGTGCTTGGAAGCTCACAGACTACTCTTGGAATATGCTTCCTCCCTGCCCCCCATACTCTGTACAGGAAATCTCGTTAAAGGGTTTTGGGTTTTCAGACTACAGTGAGCTAGATAAGCTAAGATCAGAAAAGCGTTCCTTGTTAAGTTGCTATCAGAAACAGAAAATACAAGTGTTCAAATCCCTTGTGCAGTTTAGGGGATTGTTAATTGTACATATTAACTATGTCTGTCGTACATACTTTCTCATCATACATCATCAGTACAATCTGAAAGCAAGTACAATTGCTAAAGTGCAGTTATTACTGCTAAACTTATAGGTATAACATATTAACCTTCAGGACCGGTGGATAAAAAGTATTAAAGGGGAAAATCCCTGCACTACAAGGCAGTTCTTTAATGGGGATTGAGTATTACAGGTATACAGTGGCTGAAAGAATATCTGAAGGGAGCCTTATCTGACCTGTGTAACTGTAGAACTCCTGCAGGTTAGAACTGAAATAACTTCTGGTTCTATACAAATGTCTCTCTGAGACAACCCCACTCTGAAGAGCTGGCAGTCAAAGGGACTGATCCTACAGGTGCTTGCATGTGCTTTCCTTTAATATGAGGTTGTTCTGTTGAAATTAGTTTAAATTTTATAGGATGTGTGCAGCAGATAAATAAAACAGTCTGTTTTAATGAAAACTGTGTGATTCTTAAATTTGTATAATCATTTATCATGTAATCCTCATTTTATTCATGTATAATTTGTTGAGATTCAGCCCACTCTGTTTTCAAGATTAAGAAAGTTCTAACTGTGAAACAGTTTATGGTAAGGAAACATATGAATGGCTGTTCAAGAGTGTTTTGTGAGTAGCCACATTACTGTTTAACATTACGCACTTGATACAAGGATTCTATTCTCTGTATAAAACTGGGAATTATATAAAAATACTCCACTGTATATCTAGTATTGCAGAGGGAGGCAATACTGAGAAAATTGGTGCAAGAAGCTGATAGCTATGGGTTTATTCTGAGTTTTCTTATAATTACTAGAGATTTTTTTCATACTTGAGGATAGCCATGTATTTCCTACTCATCTGTGTCATGATACCTCTTCTATTGATCTATTTTAAATGTTCTTGCAATTTAGAGCTGATCTCATGTCTCATTTTTAAGGCTCATGTTGTTATGCTCTTTGTTCAGCCACTCAGCACAACTGTTGAACTCATTGTCCACTTTCAGTTTAATTTGGTAGAGGAAGCAGAGGTGTTAAACATATTTAGGTTGTCAGTTTTCATTAAATCTGTTAAAGAGAGATTCAAATTAATGTCTCTTGGGAAATAGGTTTCTATGTGAGCTCAACTTTTACCTGTTGTGTTTGGCTTTTGGTGATCAGCGTGCGTGTGCTGACTGGTGAGTTACTGTTTGTGCAGCTTCAACAACCCATAACACATCTGTGTTTGTGTCTGCCCAGCTGGAAGCTAGAAAACACGGGAAGAAGCTAGCAGTTTGGACAAGAATGAAGCACTAGATGTGGGAGAGTATTACCAGAGGTATTGCTTGTGAGGAGGAAGAGGTAGAAAAGGAAACAGGATGGGGAGGGAGGTGGGTTACTGACGGGGCGGGGGGGGGGGGAGAAGGAACAAAGGCAGAAATCCATAGGAGAAACTAGCTTTTTGGCCCTGTGTGTGAAACCAAATCCATTTTGTGAGTAGTGGAATTAAGTGTAAACAAAAGGAACCAATTAAAATCCAGAATTGTTTTAAATATTGAAGTTAGAACTTTCTCTTACATATGAATTAAGAAATTCTGTAGCTTTTAGAAAATGTACTAGGGGTAATTCTTAAATGTTTAGCTTTAAGTGTGTGCTTAGTGACCTGGGCATAAGTAGAGTTGTGACTTTTATGGGCGTGTTTCATAAAAGCACAGGTGCCTCTTACAAACCAGAGTATAGCAGCGTTATTAGAATGTTGCTTAATGTATGGGATTGACAGTGTTCAGAGCATAATAATTTCATCCCACTTACTAAAGCTGTAACCTAAAAAGGAGTAAAGATCAGGTGGAAAGGCTTTTTTGTTGTTGTTGTTAGCTTTTTATTGTGGTATCAGGTAAAGGAGCGCCTAGTTTCCCCTAAAGCTTTCTGTCACGTGAGATACTACAGCAAAAATAAGTCACAGAATCACAGGATCGTTTAGGTTGGAAGGGACCTCTGGAGATCATCTAGTCCAACCTCCCTGCTCAAGCAGGGGCCTCTAGAGCATATTGCCCAGGATCACATCCAGACGGGTTTTGAATATCTCCAGGGGAGGAGACTCCACAAGTCATGCAGTAGTACAGTCCAGTTTTTAATCTAATTTACACTAGTAAATATAGTCTGGCTATAGTAAATATTGCCAGAGGAATATTTTGGGTTTAAGAGAACATGAAGGAGAGAAAATATGATCATTCACTTGCATTTGAGGCAGGTTGCACTGTGAACACTTGTGAACGCACTGGGGGAATGGTCTGTATCTGGATTGTATGATTGCTCATGTAATAGAAAGCGGTGTTTCCTTTGTATTTGGTTTACGTTCTTGGTATTACTGCACAAACCCATTTCTCTTAAGAAAACCTGTCATAAAGTCATATTGTACTGTCTTTAAATCAAGATTCTTTATTTGTTGATGCTGTCTTTACACTGAAGAAGAAACCTGCCTGAACAAAGTTCCCAATCTCTGCTCTAATCACTGATATCAGTGAAATAACACACAGTTACATACTGCTAACAGTCATTAGTAAAGCATGAATTTTTGTTTTGGTGATACAATATAAAAGAATAGAAATGTAGAATATATGAAAGCAAGGCATAAGGCACAGTGATGTTTACGTTATGTAAACACATCACAAAACTTTATGACTAGCATCTCTTCTCTCATCAGGGTGCTGTTACCTAAAGTACAGGTGTTAAAAGAGGATGAGGCCAGGGAAGAAACCCAAAGAAATCACTCTTCCTGGTAATTTTTTGCTCTATAGCAACTAGCAATAAGAGCGTGAGCTAACGAGCTCATAAACATAGTGCATGGTATGGCAGCGTGACTTCCTAAAGCTTGTTAAGGGTGGTCTTAAGATTTCTATGGTATTTCATGAAACTAACTCAGATAATGTAAATTGTAGTCATTTGCATCAGTTCTTAGTTTTATCATTGCATGACCTTTGCTAGGATTAATAAATTAGGACTTTGGGCGTACTTTTTTTAAACTAGTGCTATACAGTCTCAGTAAGCCTTTTTGATTTCCTTCCTGCAGCCGAGCAAAAGATGTAACAATGCCAGCGAAGCTTCCAGTGAATTTCTTCTCCACAAGATCTCCAGTCATTGATCTTTTTCGGGGACAGTTAGATTATGCAGATCACCTTCGTCAGGATTCAGAAATTGTGCTGTATTTTTTCTATGCACCATGGTGTGGCCAGTCCATTGCAGCAAGAGAAGAAATAGAGCATGTGGCCAGCAGATTGTCAGACCAGGTAATTCCAGAGACTGTATGATTTTTTTTAAAAAAGGCCTCCTAGCTTTTAAATCTCCAAACAAAGGCTAATTTTCACCTTCCCACAGGAGCCAGTAGGACCTGGATGCTCACGTTTTAGATTAATTCAGCCAGCCATTTTAATTGCAAAATTGCATACAAAGTGTTAGAATACTATCGGAGAAAACCTGCGATTCCTGTTCGGTTGTGAATTATTTCTGGTCCTGGATGGGGAATGCCGGAAGTTTAATCTTATAAAGTATTATCAGAATTATTCACGTGCCTCTGGGCAGAAATGGCAGGGAGTGTGCTCTGCTTCCAGGATTCTTGGAGACATCGGTTATGATATAGAGGCCTTGCAGCCCTTACGTTGCTACCTGATAGTTAGTTAGTTCTGAACGCTTCACTGAACTGTCTTGAAACTCTGCTCTTTGGGCTCTGCTCTGCAGAGTGAGTCATCAGTATAGGTTATGACCAAGTTAATACATTTGAAGGATTTGGATTAGGAAGCTAAAAACTGAAAGGAAAGAAAAGCGACTAAAAGGGTCACTGGGTGGGGGAGGGGAGTTTTGGATGGTAGACTTAAGGGGAGGAGATGTGGAATACTGCCTTGAAAAGGCACTGAAAATAGCAGGTGGAATGGATTGGGAAGAACCATACTGGATAGTAAATTACCAAAGATTTCTGTTTGTTGTTAGGTGAGAACTTTTATCTGTTTTGCAGGTGCTATTTGTGGCTGTTAATTGCTGGTGGAACCAGGGGAAATGCAGGAAGCAGAAGCATTTCTTTTATTTTCCCGTGATACATTTATACCATCGGAGGTAAGAGTTTTATAAACATGGTCTGAGTTTTATATTATTACTTTGACAGACAGAGATACTGTCTGAAATGTTGCATATTGAAAGTGTTGCACTTGTAGTTATGATGAACAGTTATAGAGGTGGAGATTCTGGGTGAGGCTCATCCTGTATACTATTTAGGTATCAGGAAAGGCTGTAAATGTCAGTTAAATGACATGGTGCTCAGTCCTTCAACCATAAGGAAAACTTGCGTTGCCCACGCATCTCCTGGAAGTTTTGCCGCAAATAAAATATAAAGAATTCAGATTTACATTTTAATTTTAGTTTTCTGCTTAGTTTTCTGCTTTATGGCAACTGGTCCCAGTTTAAGGCAGCAGTAAAGTAAGTGCTTATGGGCTGTCATAGCTGGTGGAATTTAAATGCTTGTTTAAATGTATTTGTGTGCTGAAGACTTGCTTCTAAATCTGGACTTACACTCCTTTTTTTACGGTCCAAATGTTGAGATATCACTGTAAAATGTTTTATGTAATGCCACTTTTATTTTTAGTATTTGTATGTATTATCCCTTTCTTTCTTTTTGTGTGTGGTAGAAAGTAGGAGAACATGTTTTCTAAAGCTAGGTACAAAAGAGCCAGTTGCTGTGCAGACTCTGACTTGCGTTTCTGCTTGTGTACCATAGTCTTGCACTGTAGTTCCTTTCTATTAGCAAAAGCTGATTTATTTTGTTCTGGGGATTTATACGTTGAGGAGGAACAATCCTGATCTTTGTCGTTAGCTGAACTTTGAACAGACAGAAATTGCATTGGCGTAATTCAAACTGCAAATAAAAAAAAAAGTTAAATCAGCGTGGAATCCCACTTGGATGTACATTGACTTAAAATTGTTTTATCTGGAGGTAGCACACATTAGATTGATACACTTGGGTACTGTTGGTAACTGGTTGGCATATTCTTATACCGTCACACCAAAATGAGATGTAAATTCATACTGATACTTTGTAAACCTCCCCCAGAGGGCAATGCACCCCTCATTCCTGAGATATTAAACCTCTAATGCTGTATACTGTGCATGCTATATGTTGAAGCAGTGCCTGTTGCTGTTAAGGTGAAGATTTGTAATAAAGCAATGTAGGACGTATTGTGATTAATGAGCTCTAGAAAACCATTTCAGAGCATCTGCATGTAGGTATCTCAATGCAGGTTTGATATTTTTCAGAGTGCGTTTATAAGTTATATTTTAAAAATTGCTTCACGTTCCTGATTAAATTCTTCAGTCTGAATGGACTAATTCCTCATGCTTTTAGTGTTTAATTTTATTTTGGAGCGTGATGCTCTGTCCAGCCTGATGACAAAGAATCAGATGCAGGATTTCAAGGTAATGAAGGACAAGTTCTTGAGATCATAGCCACAAGGTCCCCTCCTGCTCTAGCATTACCTGATGTGAGCCGTTTGTCACGTGGCTGGAAGAGAAGCTGTAGGCTTGCTCAGCCTCTCCATCCACGCTGTGACTGTGTTCATCCCCGCTTAATTGAGTGCTACTTAGAAAAATCTATTTCAAAATCATACGTCTTTTCAGATTGATGCTATTTGAACTTTTATAAAACATTTCAAAAAAAAAAGTGAAAATAGTGACATTTCTCGGATCTATTTTTTTAAGTCATGTATAATTTAGTCAGGTATATGGACAAAGCAGAAAGATATGTATGTGATTCATACCCGCCTTTTACCAACTTCTTTAATGGAACTCAGAGGTGGTCTCTGTCCCTGAATCGCCGCCAGCACATTGCATCTGCCCACAGTCTGTGTTAGAGCCACAACTCCCCTCTCAGATATAGCACGGCAGCTACTGCAAATTAACACAGAGAGCACTCTTGGTTGCCCAGAGGCTGAGCATGCTGTCTGTGTCACTGCTGCCTCTGGCACCCCCAGGAGGGACTCTCTCTCTTGTTAACTTAAGTCTTAATGTTTTATTATTTTTTTTGGTACTAGTTTTGGACCAATTGAATACAAAGGCCCTATGAGTGCTGTTTATATTGAAAAGTTTGTTCGCCGGGTGATGACACCACTACTCTACATCTCGTCTCGATCAAAATTACTAGATTTCCTCTCAAATTATGAGGTACTTGTCTCTCTTCTCTAGCTTTACCACTGTGGTTCAGAAAGAGTTTGACTTGTTTCACAGTTAAATTTAAGCTGCTCCAAAGTAGTAGTTTCTTTCCAGAATCTTGAAATCAGTGCCCTGTAAATTTTGTTAAAATTTAAAAAATATGAAATGACAGAATCATAGTGCCTGGTGCCTTTTGTAGTGACTGTCATGATTTAGTGATGTTATTAATTTGCAATACACTCGTATGTAGAGCCAACAATCAAAAATTTTAACCTCCTCGGAATGATACATATGAACAAGTGCGAAGGGAGAGCCCGTGGCCCCAAAATCTTGCAGTCTTAAGTGGGAAAGGCAGTTGAGAAATATGTAATAATTGCTTTATTTTTCAAAGGAGTCTTAAATCTTTCCAGTAAGTGAAAAGGTCTGTTAAGTAAAAACAAATGTGAAATCTGTTGAAGTAATGGCTTCCAACTTCTTTGTATGATGTAATTTCATGATTTTACTCCACTGCTGCATTGTGTTTTATTAATTTTTCAGTCTGTTGTGTTCAGGGAGGCCAAGACTGGTAACAGTACTATTGAATTAAAAACTTTCAAGTAGATAGAATGAATTTGCAGCAGAACCATTTATAACCCATTTATAACTGTACATTTTGTTAGTGCACAATGGAGAAATACTATAATCTCACTAAACCCCAAGCTATTACAGCAGAACACAAACATAAACAACGAATTGATATTGTGGTAGTGCCCAAAATATGCTAGGGGCTTTCCAGAGTTTCAGAATGAAATGTGGTTCCTTTTCGAATTAGCGTTATGTTCTCAAGACAGATTGTGCATGCTAGCACTTACTGTGAATAATTGCTTGCTGTTCACAGTGCAGTTTCTCCCTCAGCAGCTATTTGTTGGTTTAGTTCTCCAGTGTTTTAAGCAGGGACTGCGAGTCAGGAGTGACGAGTTCTCTACCCGTCTCTGATGTAGGTACTTTCTATGGTCACGAGCGATTCTCTTGTCTTTTCTCTGCTTCAGTTTTATCATTCTGAAACTCTGTTGTTTTTACCACCTTTAGAGATTTGAAAACAGCCATGCTTGGTTTTCAGTTTTTTTGAATCATCTCTTGGTAGTTTCCCAAAAGCAGTGAATAAACATGCTGTCATTTGAGCTTAAACTTGCTTTACAGTAGGATGTGCGCTTCCATTGGAAAAAGGCTACGATAAAAGACAAATTTCTGGGGGAACCTGGAAAATCAAATTTTCATTTCTGAAACACAGCTTAGCTGTTGAACAGCTATTTATGTTTCCAGTTTGTGGTCAAATGTTCCCCCCTTTCCACTGCTTCAAAACTCCCTGGCTTTGAGGAGTCCCCAGTCTATTTTATATTTGGCATTTGTTGGCTCTTTCTGTGAAATGGACTAAGATTTGGATCTGCTTTGTTTCCCCCCCATCCCCCCCCCGCCATGTAAGGTTGATGTTATTCCCCAGATCATAGCACTAGGTGCTCGGCCTTTTGCCTTTGTAAAGTGAAGAGGAGGAGGAGGGGATACAAAAATAACAGCCACCTGAGGCAGTCAGATCCCCCAGGGAACGGGACAAGCCACACCATAATGGAGAAGGGCATTGGATAGTGCAGGCCCAGGTGAGCGCAGTACAGAAAGCAAACAGTGACTGATGAGAAGCCGTGATGCAGAGAAGACTTAAGAAATCAGAGAATTGTATGCAAATAC